GGCAGCTGCTCTCGTGGTCAAGCCCTCTCTGGACTCGGACAATAGTCAGGAGACAGACAGTGAATGACTTGGCTTGTTCAGTCAGAGGGGGAAAGTAATACCTAGCACATGAATTGAAGGTTCGTGTATGCCGCAGACTGTAGACTGGTTTTGATTTTCGCCTCGTCAAATGTGCGATGCACCTCTGATTAGTGCCCTCGAAATGAACTCCAGGCTTAAAAAAATGTCTTTTGGTGGCTTCTAATGGCCTGAGACTACAATAGGAGGCTACAAAAGGCAGGCTTTCTTAGGACAGAACCACCTCTTTCAGGGGGTAGATTTAGAACAGGTTTCGTGCACATCAAAGTTGAGTCGGTCCTTCTGTGCAAGCCTAAAGCAAACTTTGTGACCAGAGATATGGCTCACATTGACATATATGCACATATACACACACGGGCACACAGACACAAACTCACATACACACAAGCACACACACAAACAGACACACACACTCACACACACACACACGTACAAGCACGCACAAACGCACACACATACACACTTATATCTTATATCTTATAATATATATGTGGTGTTTGTCTGTGTGCACGTGTCGTGTATGTGCTAATGTGTGCTTGTGTGTGTGTGTGTGTGTGTGTGTGTGTGTGTGTGTGTGTGTGTGTGTGTAAGTATTTCATGTGTGTATGTGTGTGTGTATTTACAAGTACATATTAGTGTAAACTATCACTTTGTAGATCAGTCATTTCGTCGATCCATCGTCCATCTGTCAGCCTGTCGTAGACCACGTACGCACTTTAAACCACGTTACTTTAACCCCATCTATTTCCCATTTACCCTTCCTCAGGTTTGGCACGCTTTTCAATACATAATGAATTATATTGGTTATCATGGCCTATAAAATCGTTACATCCCTGCATTACTGCAAGCATCGATGTTTATGGTGCAGTAAAAAATTCGTGGCGCAACGTATTCTCAATTTAAGAATCACACCCATACTTTGCACAGCAGTTTGTATTAATTAGTCGAACTTTATCGTATTTTCTCACAACGATTCAGGCTATATTAAAAAACTTTAAAAAATAAAAATTTGTGTAAAATACTATACATTTGTAAACCTCCGTTACGTGGAAAATGGGATTGTTCACAGCACATCCCGCTTCTCACACACATTTGGCATACACTCATATGGCCTACGTCACTGCTAACTAATGACGATTTTTTTAGTGGCAAAACTTGTAATAAGTAATCATTTTGTGTAATGAATACTTTTTTGCACTAAAGGTTCTCAAAACATACGTTCAATAAAAGCATAACTTCTCGATTAGGAGAAAAAAAATGAAGGATTTGCTTTTAAAAGCGATGTTGTCCCAGCTGTAAACCTTTCAAAATCTGTAGAAACCACCCACTGGGATTTTGAATTTGTATTTAATTTATTACGGAATTTTCTAGAATAAAGCTTACATGAGGTGTTTATAAGAATATTGATCTGGTACGACAAATTGATACAAGCCATTGAGCGAAAGCTGTAGACTGTATGTTCAATAGTTGAGGAAATTTAATGTTTGACGGTAAGTTGCACCATGAATTTTTGACCGCACAGTGGCTTCTTTTTTAAAAGACGGCCAAAAGGGCAGAGACTACAAACTGTTGAGGTGTGGGCTTCTTTTCGGTTTTCAAACCCCTAGCTAGTCGTTCCATTAATTCAAGCATCAAATAATATGTAGCGTATAAAAACATGGTGCTGAGGATTGTGATATGCGAATACAATTGGTCGCTGCTTTTAAGGACAAGCGGGCTCACCCAGATTTCGGGGGTTTCCAGAAATGTTTACCTACACCAAAAGTGGGCATTTCCCTACGTATAGGATAAATTTGGTTTCGTTGGTGAGTATATTTGTTTGGTTATAGAGAAAATTCTACTTGTCTTTTAAAGAAACTGAACAAGGGTCCAAAAGCTTTACCTTCGATTTTCTCAAAACTGCATTTTTCGGGATAGCCCCCTTGTACTTAAAAATCCCAATTTATGTAACGTTATTTAGTTTACATCATGACTGCGTGGTTGTTTCATTCGAGTCAAAAAAGGGTCGCCTGCATAACTCAGAATCACCCCCAGTGAGATTTTTCTTTCTGCCCCTCCCTCAAATTCATTCACATGTTCTAGTCATTATCATGAATTATTCACAAGAACCGTTACCAACACCACCCAAAGCTTGTGAAAACGACGGCGCCTAGGACATCATCACTCCCGCCATCACAATCATAAGAGACGCTAATAGCAACAGCCGCAACAACAAAAAATGTTCCTG